GGGTTTGGCTATGGGATTCTGTTTAGTTCCTATTTTAGCTAACAACAACATGGCCCAATTAGAAATTCGTGTGTTTTAAGAGGCAATCCTAGTTCCAAAGTTATTATTCGGTATATGGACGATTAATTTGCTGTTTGGCAATGCGGCAAAGCTAGTTTGTGGAAATCCATTGAGCTAATAAATAAAATGCATGCACACACAAAGTTTGGCATGGAGTTATAAAAATAAAATGCATTGCCGTTTTTGGATGTATTAGTAAGCAAATAAGGTAATATGTTAATTAGAGACGTATATAGGGAACCCACACACGTGGTATCCTTATTAATTGTTTATCGAACCATGCATATAAAGTAAAAATGGGAGTCATGAAGTCTATGAACAGAACCATTTGAAATATATTACAAGAAGTCTTTTAATCAGGTCACGATTCCAACCAGCATACACAAAGTTAATCGGCTGCCATCCATAAATCTATAGCATATATATATAGAAATATGTTTATCCTGTAGAACAAATGAAAATGCTTAATTTAAGCTTTCTAATCATTACTTTATCACATTTCCTAAATTACAAATATAGGCGATATTTAAGCGGAGATTGCAGCCGAGATTATCGGCGTGGCCTCGTCCAAGACCATCTTCAAGCTATTTCGGCTGGATTCCGAGCTTAGCAGAGGAGATATTACCTGTTGGGCGATAGCAAGCGTCACCTAAATTAGTAGATTTGCATGGAAATGTCTTTAAATTTAAGTTAATTCGAAGAAAATGCAATATATTTGAGAATACTCTACTAAGATCTATGATTTCTGTTAGTAAAATTCATATTCTCCTTATAATATCTGTCTTGATTCGAACTTTAAGAGAGTTTCATTACCAGCTACGGGTACTGCTTATGTGCGTAGGCTGTTCATTCTGATGGAATATATCCTCCTTTATTCCAGAGGGATATGGTATAGCTCGGCTTGCACTTTCCACTCAAGTGGTTAACTCGCAATCTCTCCTGTTTGGTTGGAGTATTCGATATTCGTCTATCATATCCTAATGAATGGCAACTATATTTAGAGAATAAATAATTATAAGAAGCGCAATTCTAGGTTAGGAAGACTTTGATTTCACTCCAAAATTTCTTAATACTATGTATCATCTATGAACACTCTTTTGGTAATTTCATATTCAAAGTGTCTCTTTAGATGTAATATAAATGGCATGAGCTGTAGACCCATACACATGTGGAAAAATAAAGTCATAGTTTCCACTATCATAGATATTAAGACCAAGATGGTGTGGTATGGTCGCAGTCTTGTTTTAATTTATGGAAGTAAGTTGACCTCGTTTTCGCAACCTGGTTTTGTTGTCATAGTGACTTAGTTGGATGCACCTTATCCAAAGTCCTTTGCTCTAGTAGCTATCATAATTACCAGCATCAGACTTGGTACATTTTCAGACATTTCGCCGGCACTATAATCGGCATTATCAGTTAGTCTTGCCATTCTCAGCACCAAGCTGCACCTCGTCAAAGAGGCTAGAGAATTCAATCTCTTGGCCAACCTTCGGAGTGACTTCACTTGTCTCTTCGACCAGTTGTTGCTTAGTTCTAATAATGAAAGGACTTACTGATACTGCCAACGAAATGTCTAAAAATGTATCTATTTTCTACTATTTTGGATATTGGGAGACTCATCTAATTTGATTGGGTTCATTCTCACCCGTCAGCTATTTCTTTAAATAAGATGTCTGAAATTGACAATTATGATATTACTATAGCAAAGGACTTCGGACAAGGTAAGTCAAACTAAGTCGCCATGACAACAAGACCAAGTTGCGAAAACGAGGTCAACCCACTTCTTTATATTATCCTCTTTGGCGGTTATCAGGTTGGTATCGAAATGCCTGATTTTGAGAACGGCTGGACTGGTTAAGGTATCATATTGCATGCTCTAAAGGTTTTTCTAAAGAGATTTAGGCTTATTTGAGGTAAACATAATTGCTGGCGCCACCAATGAGGTTTCTCAATGCCAGACTGGAATTTGAGGAAATCTATTTGCCAGGAATTAACATTGACAGCCTAGAGTATAAAAACATTTTTGAAGAAAAGGCTACTTTACTGTTCGTCTGGTATCCTTAGGTCAGTACGGCTTAATGATAATTATATCCTCTGTCAATCCCAAAGCATATACTAAAGCAAATAATGAGTGAATTTCTGTATTGACCAAGCTCGAAACTCTCTATAGACCAGTTAGTCTCGATAAAGGAAGCCAAATCTATTTCCCACTTCTTTACCTTTCACAAATAGGGCCCTCATGGCCAAATCTCCTTTTGGATCATGCATCTTAGATGAAGTCGAATCACATGATCTATTCAATATCCCAAAATATGTAAATACCCAAAACGTTTTGTATTCAAATATTATGTGTATTTTGGGGCACCCTATGGCAGAGTGCTGGCTACCTAATGAATTCATAAAAATGCTTAAATAGCTATAGGTTATGTCTTAAACTCAGCCCTTTACATTTTTTAATAAGTATTTTGGGAAAATAAACCTATGCGAGATTAGCGTGCGGTCTTTATAATTACCCTCTTAATAAGTCTAAATTTCTTAGTGAAAAATTTCACCAGCCCTTCCTAACTCTTTGTCGTTGGCCACAATATAAGACTGTCACTTACTTTGAAGTGTTCGATTGTAACTTTATGCTTCTGATGAGACTGCGCCAGCTTTTCTAGTACGTTAGAAAGAATATTTTCAGCGTCCAGGCATTCAAGAATCTCTGTAATGGCATTGATGAAGCGCAGAGCATGAGCAGAAAAGTGATGTGTTTGCTTCACTTCCTCCAACGACTTCAGATCTCGAAATTGTTGGAAGAGTTGTAGATACTCTGGATGTAAAGTGAAGAGTCTGTTGTGGAATTGTGATATAATAAGAGAACTTTATCTGCAAGAAAATAGGCAATGGATTCAAGACCTCATAGAATACCTTAAAAATCCGAGTCTACCAAAACACTTAGTATCCTTTCGGTTTAATGAATAGTAGTAATCTAATTTTAATATGTGATCAAATTATTCCTATACTTTTCCAGTTAAAGAGATTTAATATATACGCCAGATTATTGGTATTTGGAGATTGATTATAGGGTTAATGCGTTATACCGTACATATGAAGGCCGAGATTATGTTGTCTTTCGTTTGGTCACAGTTTCGTTAATGTGTTATAGCTTCTTAACTGATTAGTACCTATGTAATTCCTTACCATTTAAAGCTAAAATAATCCGGTTATCCCCTTGTAACTTCCAGCCTATTTCAAAATTTTTCCCTTTTGTTTGTAAATTAATTGATAAATTTAGCAATAGAGAACCAAAATTAATTGACTAATGAAGTATATGTGCTAATTGGAAGCGACAGGCAATGACATGGTATTAAAATCTCCCGTGTGCCAGTAAAATAATTGTGAAGATGATGGGCGGGAGCTTAAATTAGCACTCGTTCGAATTCGCCTTAGGCTTTATGGACATGAAAGTAATGACGACCAAGGTGGTGTGGCCTTTGGTATGGTCGCTTTCTCCTTTTGAAATATAGAATTGGGGTGACATCGCTTTCGCAACATAGTCGTGTATACATGAAATCATAGATGTTGCATTAATCAGAAAAGATTCTGGAACTATAGAGTTAAAAACATATTATATGAGATGTATTCACCCTATTTCGTTTAAGATGATGAAGGACTGGTAGTATAAGTTTCCCACAATGATTTGAGCTGAGCTGATGTTTCCACTGAATATCACAGAGCCTTACTTTCCCAAATGTTGTTCTCCTCCAGGGTGCGAGGTCGAAACTGCAGTCCAGCCTGGATGAGAACAACTTTTGGGAAAGCGAGACTATGTGACATTCAATGGAAACGTCAGCTCTACTCATATCATTGTAGGAAATTTCTACTACCAGTCCTTCATCACCTTAATCGAAATAGGGTAAAAAAATCTCATATAACTGAAACTCTACTCAAATAAGAAAAATATATTATCTTACCTTTCAAAAAACACCGACCCTAGTCTTATTTTCGCCTCGCGATTAGTAATGAGTCGCTTCCAGTCCTCCAAAAGTTCAACCCTTTTCGCTTCTGGCAACATCCTGAAACTGTTTAAGATAAATTTCAAGCTTGTTTAAAAAGCCAGAAATGTCCCCAATTTTGATAGGCTCTCATGTATTATCTACGAATATGGCGAAGTGCATTGGTTGAAAGTTCCTTATTTAGCCAATCAGAATATCACTAACACTGGTACGATTACGTTGTATGCAGTCAACAAGTCATACGACATGCAAAATGTGTATTATTCTGATGAAGCCATTTCGCTGGCTTGGTAACACATAAAAATAACATTTTCTATCCCTTTTAAGAATAGTGCACACATCCGAAAATGCATAATTTCATGAGTGGCTGCAGAAACTCAAATATTTGCCTTACCTAAAGATAGTATATACTATACGCTTATTAGCCAAGATAGTGAAATCGCTTATATTCTCGTCAGATTCATTTACTAAAGGTGATATGTCTCTCCTTACTCAACATATGCATGAAATTTTACTTCATGTTCCCTAATGAGAGTAACTCACATTTAGGACTATGCATCATTAATGATGAGATGTCCGAATCCAACAGTTTCTTTTTATTTATAAATCAAAGCCTTACGAACGTTCAGATAACAGGTCAAGATTTTCAGCCTAGCTTTACTTTATGATTTCATTGATGTAGATAAGAATATACTTTAATAGTTTAACTTCCAGATATCAGTCAACTGGCCTGAAGGCAGGGCTTTTTACTGTATTACTTGCAGCCTATCTTTGTTATAAGTAAAATAACTGAATGTGACTTTGCATTGCTGACGAGGTAAAGCCTAATGCGATTTTTGAAGACAATTCTTAGGCTTTCGGAATCCTAATACTGTTATGTCCTTACGGAATGAGAATGACTTGTTGAGCTTACTTCCATTTCGAGTGAAAGGGTTTGGTGAAGAGATTCTAAGGTTGACCCCGCCAGAAGGTGACGCTGGATTCCGCTTGACTAGCTGTCAATTGGCTTCACATAGATATTCATGTTGACAATGTTTCCTAGGTAATCTCCTTCGATTATGGTGTAAACGTGCTAAGCTTTCTTCTGTCGTAGGACGAACATCATTAGAACAGGATATCATCCTTACAGCCGACTCACCATCTCAGTTTTCCTGACGCTCGTCAACATGTATGCTCCAATAGAGCCAATCGACAGCTGGTCAAGAGGAATCGGCCGTCGCCTTCTGGTAGGATTGACCTTCGAATATCTTCACCAAAGTAAGCTCAAGAATTATGAAATAAGAGAGTCTTCTAAACCCAACTTGTCTTCGCATGTACTGAGAATAACTTGTCAAAGCCATAGAATTAGCGCGATTTCCTTCTTATTTTAGACTGCATAACTTCCACAACGCTGGGTATACTAATGCTGTGTAATACTGTGTCTGCGCGTATCATGCTACTTAATCCACTGCTTCCCCTACAACGGATGTTTCGGATCATTATTTCTTTTCGAGCGGCAGCGTTCACTATAATTCGATCAAAAGGGAAATGGCCATAACTACCATTTAATCTCTTAGCCATATTTGAATAGATGCGGTTGTATTAGCTATTTCAAAAAGTATAAAGAAATCAGAGTACATTCCAATGGTCATTTCATTCAAAAAATTTATTTCATTCAGTAGGCCACTATTCTTAATTGCCTGAGGGAAAGCAGCTCATCCCTGAATGAAGCTCAAGCGCACCTCAGCAATTATTTATCTTAAATCCGGAAAAGTTAATAATGTTAATTTTAAGACAAAATGTAGAACTTTTTTATCAAAGATTTTGTCAACTAGTACTTCAAAGACACCATGTGATCAACTGTCTCATTTTCCCGAATACAAAGAGCATTAAAATAGCCCAAAATTGGATTTTGCTCAGAAAAGTATCCTTTTGGTAACTCTTGCGGCCATCTACTGTGCTGCGTTGAGTCATGAATGCTTGCTCTTGTCAAATACATCAATTGCAATTATAATCTGGCTAGGGTCAAATCGCGGGCCGATGTAGGTTAGACAATTGACTGGAAGTCTCGAAACTCTACTTAAATACTAAAAATAAAGAATTTGAGCTTTTCAATGTCGTGACGTAATGACAATAATTTGGACAATTACCCGCTAAGGGGCTCAAAGTGAGATAAACTTTCAATATTTTTTCGTGACAATATATATTAGACTTTTTTTGTTCAAATCTAGTTTAATTTTAAATTTTTTTGGATAATTTAAATTTTATTTGTTATTAAAATATATACTGAGTTCGGAGTCCTACCGAAATAGCTTGAAGATGGTATTGGAAGAGGCCACGCCAATAATCTTGGCTGCAATCTCAGCTTAAATATCG